ATACACCGGTATGTCAGGAGACAGCGATCAATGGATCTCTCCTTCCCCGAACGGAAGCACTCCATATTCAGCGGTTGATTTCACGGCTGGAAATCCGAGACACCACTTAATGGATGCATGTGTGTGTGGGTTGTGCGTGTGTATGTGTGTGTGTGTGTGTATATACGTGTGGCCCTGCACTTTAAGGTTATTAATCAACATGCAGAAGGTTTAATTGAACCTGACAAGGGCAGTAGAGTCTTTCTGGGTCTTTTCACAATTGCCAGTGTAATGAGAGCATTTATTACACTTGGTACCTCCTGCTGTTTTTATTTTTTCAACTTCTAACACTGAATGTTAGCAGTTTTTTTTTTAGCTTAGATATATGTTGTTTATTAGGTTAACTCTACAGGAAATCTGTGACTATTCTATCTAATTTGTGATAATGTATAATTTAAGACATAAAGACCAAATACATTAACAAACAAATAATATTCACCGTCTAAGGCTCAACAAAATGACCATATCTTACAAAACAGGGACCAAACAAACATAAGCAGTAGAGTTAGCTTGGCAGAGTGAAACACAGATGTAAAAGCGATACTAGTTTTGAACAACCTTGGGCTTTCAAAAGAATAGAAATATCCAGGGTCCATTTTTGTTTTTGTTTTCGCCTCTGTGTTTCTTCATGCTCACTCAGTGCATTTCTTTGCAAGGTGAACTTTAAAATGTCCTCTAAAAAATATTACTTTTTTTGCATTTTATATAACCTTTATTCTATCATTAACTATATATTTTGAAGAATTTCCCCCCATAAAATGTTGTAGTCGAAAAAAACATCCATAGTTTTACTGTCTAATCCCAGTTGCACTAACCTCTGACAAAAAGGGCAAGTGATATAATATGCAATATGTTACTGTTTGAATGTTGGCATCCACACTAATTCTGGTAACATAAAAAAAAAATCCAAAGAATCTAAAAATAACCTGGATATCTGTAAATTATCCAAGTTTACAGCTTCTATAATTAAAATTCCAAGTTAAGAGACTGGAAAGATAGCAGCTCAGATCCTGCTGA